GACAAGCTACTGTTCTCAACTCCCTTCCAGGGGCGGGCAGAAGTCTGGGGCCTTCGCTCCTGAGAAGCCTCTGGTGCCAGCTGCCTGCCCCTGTTTACCGTTCTGGGATGTGGCCCAGCCATAAAAAGTGTGTGCAGACTGCCTGCCTGCCCTTTGCTCCTGGGGCACGTGACAGCAATGCACAAGGTGAATGCAGTCCCCACACAAGCCCCTGGGAGCAGCAGGCACTTCCCCCTCCTCCTGCTGGTGGCCTGGGAGACAGCACAGCTTCCCCGAAGATGGTGGGCATCTAAGGCCTGGGAACAAGGCAGTACCAGGGAAAGGACTATGCTTCCAAGAGCAGAGGAGGAAGGTTGGTGGCAGGTGTGGTTGGCAGCGCGTGGATTCTGACCTTCACAAATATTTGCTGTGTGACCCTGGGGTAACTGCATCTCCTCTCTGGGCCTCATTTAAGAAGTGGCTCAGGTCAAGTAAGTTTGGCAAGTCCCGCAGACTCAACCCTTCTGGGGGCGAGAGTGGTACGTAAACACATCGAAGCCTCTGATATGTCCTGCAGCAAAGAAACCCCTTGACTTTTCTTTAATCCAGCATTCTCCATGCTTTGCTACCCAGGAGCCCCCTACCAGCCCCTGCTAGCACCCCAGGGAGCACCACACACTCTGGAGTGTGGGGGTGCTGTGAGCTGGAGGGCCATGCTTCAGCTGTAACTCGGTGTTCACGGCACGTTTTGTCACATGGCCTGGCCTCCGGCTTGACTACCTCCAAGCTCTGAGACTTCAGACAACTTACTTAGCTTCTCTGAGCCTCAGCCTCCTCGTTTGTCAAATGGAAATGAAATACTTTGACCTATCCAGAATTTAGCACAGGGTAGGTGCTGTCTTTTAGCCACCTGCTTACAGGGCTGTTGTGTCCTACTGTGAGATGCTGGCGGGCCCGCCTAATGTCCCCACCACCCCAAGGCTGAGGACAGATGGTGGTGTGGAAGATCTGAGGCAGGGCAAGCCTGTCCCCAGCCACAGGAAAACCTCTGTCTGGCGGGAGGGCGGTGGCCGGGCCTGGCAGGCTGGGTGAGTGGCAGGTGGGGCCCACGTGGAAGGTCAGGGGGCTAGGTTGGGCCCACAAGTGAGGTTGATCACCTGTCAACCTCCAGAAAAGAGGAAACCTTTATCTAAAGGGACTTTCAAGCAGTGTCATGGGCTGCCTTGTGAGGTAATGAGTTCCCTATCACTCAGAGGGTCCCCCCAGAGCCTGGGGTGTTGTGGCTCAACAAAGGGACCCCTCCTGGGGCACCTGGGTGGCTCAGTCGGTTAAGCGGCCGACTTCGGCTCAGGTCATGATCTCGCGGTCCGTGAGTTCGAGGTCCGCATCGGGCTCTGTGCTGACAGCTCAGAGCCTGGAGCCTGTTTCAGATTCTGTGTCTCCCTCTCTCTGACCCTCCCCCGTTCATGCTCTGTCTCTCTCTGTCTCAAAAATAAATAAACATTAAAAAAATTTTTTTAAAAAAGAAAGGGACCCCTCCTGTCCTGTCGGACCCAGAAGCCAGCCCAGTGCTAAGAGGTATTCTAGCTTTCCTCTCGTGAGGAGCTGCTGTCACTTCTGTTTTGTATATAGCAATTTTATGTCCCCGTTCCCCCTGGGGGGCAGGCGCTGGTGGCTGGAGACTGGGGCTCCAGACAAACATCAGATATGGCTTGGCCTGCCCCTCAAAGGCCCATGGCCTGGTCATGGCCTCCAGCAAATCAGAAGCATGCCCATCAGCACTATGTTTTGCATGCAATTTCATCTGCAGACCCCTAATGCCCCGCTGAGAACCTCAGTCTGTAGAGCTATCCTATCGACTGCCAAGAGATCAGTGTGGGCAGAGCAGAGAGGGCCACAGCTCCGCTCTAGGGGAGGACTCAGCCCAGCTCTAGGAATAGAAAGGGTCTCCCGCTCCCCAGGGTATGTGTGTGCACACGCACGTGTAACGGATTGTGATGGGGATCTGTCCGAGGAAACCAGCCTGGCTCCTGGTGGATGAGGTGCCCCGCCAATGGGATGCAGAACCTGGGAGCACAGCAGGCCTAGGAGAGGGCGGCTTTGGAGGGCAATCCTGTCCCAGCACGGCCGCACCAGAGCCACTTTCTCTGAATCATACCAGATGGACCAGCAGCCTGATTCCTCATTTTTTACAGTCGCCACTCGCTGGTGTAACAAAACACATGCTCTACAGTGATACAGTCTGAACGTTTCAGCAAATTAAAAATGTTTATTTATATGCATTTAAAAATATCTCCGTATATAATAAAAGGAAGTACATTTTCATCTAACACTTTCCTTAAATCAGCACACATCTCCATTAGACTTCTGGTTTGATGTGAGACCAGGAGACATGAGAGAGAGAGAGAGAGAGAGAGAGAGAGAGAGAGAGGCGGGAAGAGGGAAAGAGAGATTATTTACTGGTTGGGATTCCTAAGTGCCGTCTTTCTGACAAGTAGTAACCAAACTTCCTCTGGGAGAGGGGAGAGGGGACAGCGGCTGCAGGGGACGTCAAACATGCTTGGTGTTCTGAGGGTGACTGAGGGTTCAGTGGGCAGACTGACTTATGTAGACAATATCTTCTAGAAGATGTTGGGATTTTGTTTGTTTGTTTGATGAAGACCAGACTTTTCCAACAAGGGCTGTGGTGGGGCTTCCCAAAGAAGCCAATGCCTCCCCTCTATTCCCTCTTCCTGTGGTTCTCCGGACCTTCCAAAGGATCCGATGAAACCCACGTACCAATGGGAGGGGGTTGTTCAGCAAAGCCGGAGCCTGTCCTGTAAGAGAAGAGGTGACAGTCCCTGGGGGAGGGGGGAGTGGGTCCCGCCTGGGCCTTCCTGGATTCAGGAGCTGCTGGCTTTTGCCCTCTTGGCTTCTCTCCAAAGCCCAGAGATTCAGTGCTCTGTGTGGCCTTGGGCATATGACTTCACTCCTCTGAGACAGGTTCCTCAGGTGCAAAATGGGGACGCACAAACCTGTCTTCCCAAGCTGTTGGAAAGAATTACAAATTAGATATTAGATATAAGCCTTCATCAAACGAACACAGTAGGGTTCAATAAATGTTCCTTCCCTTCACATTCAGGCCCAAAGGGCTCCTTCCTCCTGTATCTGGAGAGCCCCTGGCCTGCCCTTGAGGCCGGACTTAAAGAAAGGGGCCTCTGGGTGAGCAGGTGTGCCCAGAACCCGCCAGCCCCTTTCCCGAAGCACACTTCAGTGTAAACCCTTCTTGCCCCTTCCAGACTCCGGGGGTATGAGAGGCAGCAGACCCTTATCCTCACTCTCCCCAAAGACCTCCCCATGCTGGCTGATGGTAGGGCAATGCTATGATTTAGTGTCCGAACTGAGACACCTCTGAGTGAAAGGGGCATGATTTGCAATGCATACGCTGGGTCGACTAGCTTATACCAGTTCATGCCCATAGATGAAAGAACATGAATGCTCTAGCTAATAATTTCCTATCCTAGTCACAGGCTCACACGGACCCTCACGCTGCTCCGAGAGGTCAGTCGGGCACGGGGTGGCTGATGGCTCATCTTAGAGATGTGAAATTCTAACAGTCCTGAGGTCATACTGCTGGTGGGAGAAACCCAGGTGCTCATCATCTAAGTCACAAGCCATGACAACAACACGGCGACGCTTGCCCTGTCTCTTCTTGCCCAAACCTCTCCCTGGGAAAGGAAACATGTTCCAGACCTCCACCAGCCCAGAAGGTCCATGAGGCCTGACTCCGTCACTGGGGTCACTCACTAGCTCTGTGACCTTGACTCAACCTCTCTGCTTCAGTTTCTTCATCTGTAAAATAGGGATAGCACCATCTGTCTCTCCGGGTCCCTGTGTTGAGACAATAGGACCTAGCCCCAGGATCTGGCACAATAAATACCGTGGGCGACTGAAAAATATCTGATTAATGGCTGCTGTGTCCTTTTCTTGGCAGAAGCGGGCAACCTTTAGTCAGTCGATAAACGCCAGCTGAGCCCCTGCTATGTGCCAGGCCCGGTGCTACCTGTTTTCTATGCACAACCTCCCTGGGTTCCTCGCATCATTGTAAGGGAGGGCAGATTCTTAACCCCATTCTCCAGATGAAGAGGCAGCACAGCACGCTTAAGGAATGCGGGCAAGGTCACACAGCAAAGAGGAGGCGCTGCCTGGATCGCTGGAACCTAGAGCCCGGCTGTTTGTGTCCGTGCACGTGGCCTGCCTCTCACTGCCCAACTGGGGAAAGGAAGGCCCAGAGAGGGCAGGTTACCTGCCCAAGGTCACGCAGGAGGCGGTGGCCCGAGGCCTCCGGACCTCCGAGGGTTTCCGTCTCGGACCCCCCCTCCTCCCGCGCTCGGGCCCCTCCAATCCGCAGCTCAGCGTGCGGGGGCGCGCGCATCCCCCCCGGCTGTCCGTCCGTCAGCCGTCTGTCTGGGTGGCTACGCGGGCGCAGCCGTGCTCCCCTCCCTAGCCCGGGGCGCTGCGCAGGGAGAGGCAGGGCGTTCGTGGCGCCCGGCGCGCGCGCCCCACGCCCCACGCCCCACGCCCCACGCCCGCAGCCGACAGACGGCAGCGCCTGCGCCCGAGCCCGCACCCCCCC